GTCGCTGTCGTCGTTGACTAGCCGACGGGGTTAGCCGCTCCCAGCGTGCAACCAGGGTGCTATCCATTCGGAGCCGCCAGCGTGCCTCCAGGTGACCAGACGAAGATGCCGGGGAAGAGCGGTGAAGCTGTGTTACTCTGTGTTCACTCTCCTTCCTTCAATTCCGTACCGGCCCACTGGTTATGTACTTCATGCACCTCACACTTGATGCACCACCCCCAGAGACGACAGAGTCGGTGAAGGCTTCCCAGCACCGTCTCCACCCGTTGTTGTGCCACAGTCACGGCTATGCGCAGACCGCATGAATCCCAATTGCTCGACGCGCATACCTTGTATGTGTGCTCGGAAACCTTCGCCAATGACAGCACCGACGTCTCGCGCCCAGGGCGCACGGCAGCAAGCGCGCCTGGTACTTGGGACCGTGATACTCTGAGCAAAAGAACACCCGCAGTGGTTGCGCCTGGACTTGCTCGGTCTTTGCGCGAGCTGTGGGGCTTGCATCGGCGAGGGTGATCGGGTGCGCTACGTACTTGTTTTCTGTTGTCGCCCCCTCTTTTTGCTTCAACCCTGTCATGGGCGTTGTCGTACTTCGTCTCTCCCCTCTTTCCTGGCCCAGTCATGGACGTTGCAACACCGCTGGAGGTGGGCACAATGTACAAGTTTCGGGGCACTGGAATCGGAGATTACTGGTGCTGGGACTGGCTGCCACTAATCATTCTGGCAGATTGCGCACTACTTACTGGTAGATACGAACCTCAGAGTCGACTCAGCACAGTTAGGCTCCTCTGAGCTTGTTGTGTGCCAAGCAGTTACTGTACTACAGGCCCCGCGCCTATGGTCTTACTGCTGACCTACTTTCCTAAGAGAAGTGGCCAGTCCATGTTATTGCATAGTGAATGCGCACACGTCGCTTTTCCGCATGCCTAAGATTGGAGCCTTCGCTTGAAGATACTGAACTCGTCGTCCAGTAATCGTGAGTTTGAATTAAAATAATAATGATAACGTTCAAGAACCGAGTAAGAAACAACAAACGCCGCGCTATGCCCAACGCCTTCCCATATACCCAAACAACAGCATCGTCATCTCCACCCATGCGGATCATGTACATGCTCAACACCCCGCGACGACCTCCGCCGCCTCGTCTTGGGAGGGCGCCCATACGCCGCGCCTGCCCCATACTGATCCATCAACTTCGTGACTGCAGGGCCCCAGCCAAACTCGCCCCGCTGATCTCTGCCTGTTATACACGGACTCATTCTCAATGGAAGAAACCATGAAAGAATATTATCGCCCATGATATCCCGGATATTCTGCACCGCGCCTCTGTCCCACGGGTTTTCGCCGGGCTGCGTTTGCACGACGATGTAGGAGCGAGAGGGGGTGCGTTGGATTTCGGCAAGGATGCCGGTTTGCTGTTGTTGTTCGGTTGGGGCCGACGCTGAGGATGAGGATGGGCAGGAAGATTTGCCGAGCATGGCGATGTTGTAGACGTTTCCTTTTTGCACGATTTCGATGGTTGTGTAGTTGATTGCGAGGTTGTAGAAGGTGGTGCAGAACATGCCAAAGGTGAAGAGGAAGAAGAGGGCGCTGAGGCCGAGAAGGACGATCCAGGTTGCGGGTTTGGAGAGGGACTGGAAGGGAGATTAGTACGGGTGAAGTGGCTGCATATTCGTGACTGACATTTTTCGACCGTTCGGCGAGGAAGACGGACATGACGATTAACACAAAGCCCGTGTATAGGAAGCCGTAGAATAAGAATTGTACAAAGAATTTATGCGACGTTTCGGAGACGATGCCGCCGGCGTAAGGGCAGTAATGGTCCATTCGTTTTACACACCGTCCGAGTTGAGATGAGTGGTGGGTCCGGTCTGGTTTCCAGTTGCCGCACTCGGAGCACCAGATGGGTCTGCCATGGTAGTCGCAGATGAATGCATCCATTCGGTCGAAGTAACTCGTAGAGACTCTATCTTTCTCCCTTTGCTCTCCAAGAGATACAGTGCCAGGATTCGTCCAAATGACATGAAGAAGGCGCAAAAACGTCACAGCGAAGACGAGCAAAAGGATGCAGTAAACGACAATGAGCGCAACACCAGTGGCCTTGCGTGCGTCTACCGGATGAGGATGTACTGGAAATCCGGGGGTGGGATGCATCAGGTACTGAACGCATACGAGGTAGATGACCACATATGTGGCGTATGCGATGCCCCCGACTTCGAGTAGTGGGAGGATGATGGCCATGACCTGGTTGGCCTTTTGGTCCATGCGCCGCTGGCGCTGCTCGGAGATGGCCATGGGGAGGGCGGGTAGGCGGGCTTGCGCCCCTGTGAAGCGTGGAGCGGCAGCGCGGATGGCGATGTTGAGAGTGGGACAAGATGCATGGAGATGGCGGAAGCTCAGGAGCAGCACCAGCCACAGCTTGGCGATGCGCCCCACTTGCGTGCACTGACCTTCCAAGGTTCTTGGACATCGACCTCACGACTCCACATCTCAGCCTTGTTGTCTACGCCGGCCTTCCAAGGTTGTCGTCGATGCAGCCTGGAGGAGGCCCACGGGTCGCCTCATTTTTCCTTCTGTCTGCACGCTCCAACTTCGCGTACCATCGGTTGCACCCTTATCCTTGATTGCCGCTTTCCTCACCAGAATTTGGCGTTTCTGGATATCACATGCCCTGCATGCGGTTGCCGGAAGATTTCAACCGCCTCCGCGCCCACGCTTGGGAAGAGGGCTATCACCTGGATGGATTCGAGAAGAAGACGTTCTGGGGGTCATCGAAGAAAGTCTTGCTGCATGGCTCTCTGCTGACATGGTCAGATCTTGCTACAGATTCATTGTTGCAGCCTTCACCAACCGACGCCCCCCAGTCCGCTGAAATTGAGTGAAAAGTCGAAGAGAAAGCGCACAGCGTGGTTGTCGGCGGTCTTCCCTTTGCCCGTTCCATCGACAGCCACGACCGGATGATATCAGACATCGTCTATACAGTCTGCTGCCCACAGATCAGAATTTGCCATCTCCTAGGGAGAGCCCTCCCCACAGAGATGTTACTTCTTTGCCCCGCCTACTTTCTTGGTCGCTTCTGTTCCACTCATCGAATCCGACACAAGCGCTGTCCGCTTTATACGACTTGAACAACTCAGGATAAGGCTCAAAACCGTGTCAAGAATCCGCCTGACAACGCAAGTTGAAGCAGTGCGATGTGGCCATGATCCCAAGTCCCACCGACAACGACTAGTTGATATTTGGCAAAAGGTATGAGACGGCCGGCAGTGCAGGTATAACCGCCTGACGCTACCTGGCCATATTTCGAATTTCGCACTGCCACACGCCTCACGGACGGCCATAACGCAGCCTTATTACGTTGTCCTCCTCACGAGGTTCGGCCATCTCCGAGAGCATGACTTGACAGCACCAGCCTCGCCAAGGCACCTCCAGACGATGCCTCACGTCCTTAGGCCTTCGTCGCCCCCTATCTATGGCACGTCAATTTCCTGTGCTACCGGGCGTGGCCTATGTTAGGATATCGGCCATCATATGCCTCTCCGATTCGGCCATCTGCAAGGCACAAGGAACGGCGCTCATGTGCATAGTCCTTTCCTGTTAACCCAACCGCAAGCTGTAGGGCTGCGTTGGCATTTGCGCTGACGCAATAGGGACAGGTGAAGCAAATTTGGGTGCCTTACAGCACCTACTCCTTGAAACGCATGTCCTCCACATACCGACGTCTTGAAATTCACTCCGCGACTTCTCACCTGTGGCTGGCTGACTGGATATGCCGCCTAATTTTACGCCTCGGGATAGTCGGAGCTTGTAGGTAGGGCGAGTGACGTCCTTCGAGTCCTTCAGTCCTCAATCCTGTAGTTATAAGAACTCAAGGTAGACCATGTCAAACAGATCATCCATCACATCATTTTTCTGATCACAACCGTCTCTTCTCGAGCTGCTTGAAAGTCCAAACCCTTATTCTCAATTTACTTTCGTCTCGACCACATTCCACTCGATCTACCGCCACGATGCCTAAGGTTTGGCATTGTCATAAGTGCCAGGGCGGCCCCTACAACCCCGAGATAATCGCACAATGCATCGATTGCGAGCATAAGAAGTGTTCCAAGTGCAAGGTTGAGCAGACTCATCCCCAAGACCATACCGGCTATCATATCAACTACTCGATCCTGCCGGCCGTCGTCGCTCCCAGAAGCCTGCGCACCACTCATGCCTCGTACCTCACACATGGACTTCCTTCGCAGTCTTCCTACTACGCGTACGCACAGCCGGTCGATGGGGAGAAGAAGAAGGAGAAGCCAAAGTACGCGTGGCAGTGCTGTTATTGTCATAAATCGTTGAACAACATCTCTATCGACGCATATTGCAGCCATGGCTGCGGGCATCCGAGGTGTGCGATGTGTCCGTTGGTCCGGATCAAGTCGTGAACTATTGGAGGCTGTGGAGCTAGTGTGTTGTGTGTAGGTAAGCCATCTTGCATCTTCTGCCTATGGTGTTTTGGGTTATGGCTAATGCGAACAGGATATGGACAGTTGGCGGGCTGGTCCGGCTTTTACGGTTCATGTTTGGTTTTGTATCTGTTCGATTGTGTGTTAAGTTTTCCTATCCCCTATTTTTTTCGATTACTCGATTGTTGCTGCGTTTCTGCTGTTTTCGCTCACATTCTGGTACTGGATGCCAGCGGTCTCCTCCTTCATATCGACGGAGGGCATGTACGCCATTTTGAGAATGGCCTGTGTAGACTTTAATTCTGGATCTTGAAGTGCGTTCCATTTGCGGAGCACGGTTATGTACTGTCTGTCATGTATTCGTAGTTTCTTACAGATATCAGCTTTCAAACCTTATTCCCTAGCTTCATGCTCAAACGCCAAGTGCAAGCTTGTGATACCTATCGGGCTGCGACTGTTTTCAGCTGGAATCCTGCGATGTGGAGTCGGATGTTGCTGCTTTGCTAATTTGTCTTGGTACATAAGTTTTTAAACGATCAATTTTCTTACGTCATTGGAGGTATAGCTCAGCGGTAGAGCGGCAGATTGCAGTTACTCACGCGGTTATCTGATGGTCACGTGTTCGATCCACGTTACCTCCTCTTTTTGTCATTTTCGCGAAATCCCGAATACTTAATATCTACTTCTGTCTCGGCAGCTACTTAAATCAATGTACGTGGTGGAGAAAATACTCAGTGCCGCTATTTCTCTAGGAGTGCGCACTTTTATCTTACGAACAAGAAGCTTCTCGGTCAGGGATTTCCAAATTGAGATTCTGTAGTTACTTACATTACTTACTGCTCATAGCAATTGCCGCTCAAGAGTAAATAGTCTTTCTGCCACAAACACAACTAATGGATGGAAAACCCGACTGTAACGCCAGCTGTCTACCCCGCGTCTTGTTGGATATACTTATCCGCCTAAAAGGCCACGCTACTACAAAGGTCAAGACTTAATTTAAGAGCCATCGCTAGTTCCCAAAGAAACGAATACCGTTCCAGTCATGTCTACCGAACCGTTAGTCCGCGTCTCAATCTGCGTGAACCGCAAACCCGGGATGTTAGAAGAAGAATTCCACAAATACTGGGCATACAAGCACGGCCCGCTGGTACGAGATTGGCTACAACGAAGCGGAGTAGTCAAGTATGTGCAGGTATGTGACTTGGACACTATCCACCCAAATGAGTATACTAAACTCACGATTACGAGTACCACACGGCATCCAAGCACAAGGACCTAGGAAGCAAGATGTTCGCCGCGACGGGGAGATCGCCTCTACATTACGACGGAATGGCTGATTTCTGGGTGAGGAAATATGAGGACTTTGAGGCTGCTTTCTTGGATCCGTACTATCAGCAGGTGACGCAGCCGGACGAGAGAGGATTGTTCGACATGGATACGCTTGCTGTGACGATTGGGGTGGAGTACATTGTGCTGGAGGATGGGGAGAAGGTAGAGAAACATTCAAGAGAAATTTAAACCCTTTAATGAATGTCTTCGTGTTAGATACTGCAATGATAGCATAGTGTAAGATCTGAGAGTACAGCGGAGGTCTTTGCAATCTGTTGTTCTACCACCGGCCCACTTTCGGCCTAACCCCGCCGATGCCGAGGTCGGGTCGAAAACTCGAAAAAAAAAAATCGACGACATGGTACAGAACCACAAGAGACAGCATACGAGAGCAAAATGCATCGGCCGGGAATCGAACCCGGGGCTAGCCGATGGCAACGGCTAATTTTACCACTAAACCACCGATGCGTGATTTACTTGATATCAGTTCTGGACTGGTAGAAGTTAAAGTTGCAAGACAATTTCTCGACACGAGGGCTATCCGGTACCATCTAGCCGACTTCGAAACGATGTCTTCCATCCGTGAGTACAACGTGGGTGATACAGCAGCATTGTGGTTGATCCTGTACAACTCAGTCAGAACCCTAGGCGAAGATAAGAACCTCACGAGAACCTCACGAATGTCTTACCTATCTGAATCTTTGCGTTGTTGATCACCAGTTCCCGTCTCGATGAATGGTTAAAGTGAAGCGGGTTCGATAGAGCTCAACAAAAGGCTGCCGTATATGTCTTGATGGGGGTTTTTGAGAGTTTCAAATGAATGCTCGTGAACAGAGTATCTCCTTCCATTGACAACCGGCGTCACTTTGTCTTCTCGGGCCAGCCCAAATCGTCCAATCATTTCAGATATGGATCTAAATGAACTCGTCCCTGGGTATCATTCTTTCCACAGCAGGGCCACACTAGAGGCTTGTCCGGTTACCGACCTCGTGCGTGTGGCATTGTCTGGTTGGGTTGTCAGACTGCACGTCGGAATCTGCGAGATGTAAGAGTAAAGACCACTTTGCCTCAAAACTTGGGTCTGATACCCTTTCTCCGATGAGGTGTCGTCCTGTCAGCAGTGGCGTGTACTGGCACATTTCAGTTCTTTCACCGCCAACGGGAAATCTTCGGCATTTCCATCCGTCTCCGGGGACGCACGCGCCCACCTTTACCTGTGTTGTGTAAACAAAACTGGATCTTGTTTTCTCGACACTCTCCGCTCTTTCACGCACACGTGTCTAAGCTTGATCCGCCTTTTCTCTACCGCATCGCAGCATCAGCGACCCGCCACGATGGCCGACTTTGTTTCTATTCTGAACCCTATTGAGCGGGAACCCCTCCAACAGGCCGGACAGAACGCGCTAAATGGAGAGCGGGACGCAGAGAACGGGAGCATGACCATGTTGTGCCAAAACAATCGGGATGCGCATGAACCAGCCGCAAGTGATGGAAACGCTGGGCCTGGCCGCGTTGAGACCGCCGGAGGATTCAAGACTAGAAGACAGTCTACAATCTCTACAGGTAATCCACAAAAAATTCCACGTCAACATCCCATAGAACTGACTGCACAAGGCACCGCCGGTGAAGTGCTTCCCACCATCAAGGAAGAGGTGATCAGCCATCGAACTGGAGCTATCGTTACGCCTCGCGGTACAGGTACGGTCACGGTTTCGTTCGTTCCCTGATTATGGAGTCGCTGAACCGCAACGTTAGGAAGCAGAAGTTACAGTACCAATGGCATCCCCAACTCTCCTTACACGCCCTCCCGTGCCCGAACTCGCGCAGGCACCATGCAGCTGGAGAGCAACACCCCGACCCGGAACCGCGCTGGTACTATCGGCACCAATCGAGGCGGCAACCGTACTCATGGCCGTAGCCGCACCATGTCAGCTCTGGCGCCCGAATTCAGGCCGTCTATGACAGTGATGCAAGGCTATGGGCCGAACATGCGTGCGATCCTGTCACCACCTCGCTCGATTACCCCTCTATACGCCGTCGTCAATCCAGGCCAGGAGTACTGCAATAATCCTAGTCAGTATACTGGTGCCGAAAGCTGCGGATGCATACTCACGATGAAGCAGACCCTTCCTTCCACCCCCCGAGCTTCACGACCCCTTCTGTCAGCTTCAGCAGCGACTCTTCAGGACTTACCTCAATTGGAGAGATGGAAGCCGTGACCACGGGGCCTTATGTCGTGGACATAGAAATCGAGCGCGCGCTCAGCGGAGCAAACCCACATTGGCCTCACTTCCTCGCCTCCGCCTTCCAAGGCGTACACGAATGCGACGACTATTTTGCCGTCGTCATCCCATTCATCGCCAATTGTACCTTCATTCTCAAGTCCACGCTCGATTTGAACTATCTCCGAGAAGCTCTAACCTCTGAGCACTTCCCCCAAGCCGCCCAGGTTGTCTCCAAGCTCGTTTTTCCCAAGTTTTACTGGTTCTCCGGCGTCAACTCAAACCGCCAATCTAACCCTTACATGGGTTTCTTGCTGTCGCTTCCAAACATCGAAGAGTTGACGCTGACGTTGCACACGGCGGGTCTGACGGCGCCAATGTATACGGACGCCGAAGTGGCGCGCATGGAAGCCAGAAATGGAGACTCGGAATTGGTGAGGGATCTGAAGGTTTTGACGTTGAAGCAAATCATCGCGCACTATGATCTCGGGCGGCTGTTGGAGTGTAATCGGCTCCGCGTCGTCAATCTGCAGTGTATCGATTCGCCCATGGTCGCGCACTTCTCCAAGACCGCAGATCCCGTGAGTGTTGTTGTCGAGCTGGTGGCGCATCTTGAGCAAGGCTTCTTTGCGAGATATGGGCGCAGGGTTGCTGTCAATGCGCAGTTAGTTACGCCGAACTGATGGGGGCACCATGTCGCCGCAGCGCATGGGAAGAAACCGGATTTGTGTAAAAAGATTCTGTACTTATAGAAGGCGCCGTTTCCAAGGGTACTGATTGCTATCATATCATTACCTCTTGGTAGGAATGCCCGATCTGGGTAATTTTGTCGGATTTGGCGCACGCCTGGGAGGAGTATTGTATACTATTGTTTGCTTAGATACCCTGAGTGCCATCAAAGGCTCGCAGCTATGCTCCGAATGCTGCCTATATTAAAAGTCATTCTTCCAAGCTCGGTCGCACTTGATAGTCACCTTAGAGAAGGGGGTGGAGGTAATAGAGAGAGGGTAGAAGGATTGTTTAACATGCTTTAAGAAGCTCGTAATCGTAGAGTGCTCTAGCTTATATCCAGCTTTCTCTGCAACCAAAGAGGCGAGCTCAGAGTGAGGGTGGGAGGATTGTTCAACATAGTTCAAGAAGCTCGTAATCGTAGAGTGCTCTAGCTTATATCCAGCTTTTCCTGCAAGCCAATAGTATTACTACACACCCACATCATCACAACGCCAAAACCGATACCCCTACCCCTCCAACCTAACCTTCTGACTCCTCAGCGCATCGACCAACCCAATCGGCAACAACTCGTGCTCCCCAAGCTGCAGCCCAGACCCTCCAAACCTCTCCCTAATCTCGCTTCCATAAAGCTTATAGATCCACAACCAGTACCCATCATCTTCCGCATCGAGAACACTCAACTCTTGATAGATGTCTCGATTGATCTCGACGCCATCCTCACGAGACAGTTCCATCAGTGCCAGGTACTCTTTCTGCAGGTACTCGGAGGTCTCTTCGCGGTACATCGTGTATTCTTCGTACGTAAGGAACGGCTCGTCGGCGTCGGCGTCGGGGCTCTCGTTGTTGCTGGCAGGCCCTGTATATTTGGGTGTTGGAAGACGGCCTTTTCCAGCATCCCAGCGCTCTTTCAAAGTTGCCCAATCATCATAGTCCTCCTCGATCGCTCGCACAATGTAGTCCCCAGGCTCTTTGGGGCTGCTGTCACGCGTGCGGAAGGCACGTACAAACGGGTTCCTCAGGCCGAGACCGCCCAGTACAGGCGGGAAATAGAAGAATGCATCAGGCACTGAATCATCGGTCCCGAAGCGCTCCGTCAGCATGTTGCGCAGATGGTCTGTCACATTCGCTGTACCGTTCTTCTCGAACAGTGTTTGCTGGATGTGCTGGAACGTCTCGATGATCATGTCGTTGTGCGCGCGTCCGAGGCAGACAGCTGGCTGTCCGAAGTTGGTGTTGAAGAAGCGGTCGAGGTAGCTGTTCCATGCTTGCACCCACCCCATGACGCTACGGCAGGCTGAGAGCTGGCATCGAAGTTCCTCGATATGGACGTCCACTTGTGCACGGTCGATAAGCCAACG